TAACTAGTTATCACTTCAGCATAAGTATACATTAGTTTCAGTCAGCATAGCAGCAATCTATCAAGGTTGCTCCTCATTGTAGTGTGTGTGTTGTATCACCACTACCTGACGTCCGAAGGTGCCCATAGCAGGTTAGCAGTCCAGATATAGATAGAACTGAAGGCAGTAGTCCACTGCGGTCCGGGGGTCACTTCAAGCATCAAGTCAACACACTGGACACTCGTGTTGACGCCACCAACCATATCACCAACACCATCAACCTCCTTATCATCAACACTCACCAACCTTATCACCAACGACATCAACCTCATCATCATCAACACTCACACCAGACCTTGGTGTCATCATAACCGAAGCATTGATATTGATCGTGCCGAGCTACCCCTGAACGGAGTGTCCACAGAGGTCAGCCAAAACCTACGATAGTATATACAACGAACGCCACCTGCTGTCACTGCACAACTTGATAGTCACTGATACTGAGACAACAGCTGTCGCACAGTTTGATAGTCACCGAGTATCTCGACAGACCGACCTGGGTTTCAGGCGCGAGACCCCTGACAACATCCCTCTGAGAGCTTGGAAGTGGCCCTTCAAATAGCCTATAGCATGTTCTGATTGGATTCTGATGTTGCTTACTGCCTTGTTGAATTGTCAGAAATCATCAGAAGCAAGAGAGGCCAAGTGCCCATTGTCAGAGGTCATGCACCCAAAACCTGATATCTGTAATAGAAACACATCTATTACAAATCCTGTCGAGATATGTGACAATGCTTGAAGTATTATGATTCTTGTCAAGATATCTAGTAGAGACATCTTTATCACTTTTCTCACCCAAAGATGTAGTAGTGGTTTTGCTATTGCAGGTTTCAACTGACCACTGTGGACACTCCATCCAGAGGTAGCTTGGCATGATCAATAATTGTTATGAACTGGTACTAACACCAAGGTCTGGTGTGATCAAGATTGTTGTTGTCATCAACACAAGTGTCCAGTGTGTCGACTGAATGCTTGAGGTGATCCCCAGACCACAGCAGACAACTGCCTTTGGTTCTATCATTATCTGGACCACTGGTTTGCCATGAACCACCTTTGGATGTCAGTGAGTGGTGATACAACACATGCACTACAATGGAAGCAATCTACTTGATTGCAACTTCACTGACTGAAGCTAATGTATGCTTATGCTTAAAGTGATAACTAGTTATGTATGGTGTAGAGTGGATGGGGATCCACTCGACTTCCATGAATAGAATGCCTGTCTTATATCAACACCTCTCACAGAGTCGCCTGTGACACTGTGTCATAGGAACCGGATGCGCAAGAGGCAGGAAGAAGTTGAAGTCATATGAAGGAGTGCAGGATCAGGCTAAACGAGAGCTTAAGGAAGAGTTCACTGAAATCAGTAGTAGAAATGGTCCTATGGTATAACTCAGCAGGATCTGTAGGAACACAGTCATTACTACAGAGTTCAGCAAGAATCATAATATCATGCTGAGTATGACAGATCTCATGGGAATTGGTCAAAAAAGGCACCCCCTCACTGATAGGATGAGGGGAGGATACTGTATGAAGGAAGAACACCACCAGATGAAGCAGGGGCCTGGCACAATGATGAAGTCGGGGCCACCAGGTGGGCGCTGATGACAAGAGGGTGATGAGAGGGGGTGCAAGTCACCACCCAGATGAAGTGGGACTAGCCCCTATAGGAGATAAGACAACAACAGACTGTCCATCTGCAGGGTGTGAGAGAAGCGGAGCCAGAGAGCAGCACCACACAGTGGATGGGAAGGATAGGAAGGACGAGGAGGGGGAGCAGTGTCAGCAAAGCCTCCCAGAGTAGGAACAGCATTGCAGGCGATGTTGCAGGAGCAGGTATATAACCATGCTCCTCGTCATAACAAGTGAATGGATGGACATCCACTCTACACCATAATAACTAGTATCACTTCTACACCAAGTACATTAGTTTCAGTCAGTGTAGTTGCAATCAAGTAGATTGCCCTCATTGTAGCGTGTGTGTCATATCACTGCTCACTGATGTCCGAAGGTGGTTCACAGCAACCAGTGGTCCAGATAAAGATAGAACTGAAGGCAGTTGTCCACTGCAGTCCAGGGATCACTCCAAGCACTTAGTCGACACACTGGACACTTGTGTCAATGTCACCAGCAATCATATTTGCACCAGCCTTTGGTGTCAGTACAAGTTCATGCCATTATTGATTGTGCCGAGCTACCTCTGGATGGAGTGTCCACAGTGGTCAGTTAAAATCTGCAATAGCATAAGCTCAATCACAGATTTGAGCAAGTATAGTCATAGGGACACTACTATGGCATAACTTGACAAGATTCATAATACATCATATACAAGCACATATCTCAGCAGGATCTGTAATAGAAGTGGTTCTACTACAGATCTCAGGTTTCAGGCACGCGACCTCTGACACACTGCTCCTGCTATACCAAGAGGTGTATTCCCTCCTCAAGCACTGTGTCAGAGGTGCTGCCATTGTGTCTCGTCCTTGGCAGCTCTCGCTCTTCTTGTGTCTGTGTCTATGAGGACCAGCTCCCTCTCATCATTGATAGGGGTCACCCCACTTCATCCCACTGACAGCACACACTCCACCCCCTCTTTCATCTACCTCTTAGCTTTGGCACCCATCTTCTCGTGCTGACTTCATCATCATGTAGGGCCCCTCCCTCATCCAGTGGTGTTGAAAGTCCTTGCCACTTGTCTCCACTGGATCTGTTGTACAATTCTCCTTGTCCCTAATTTCTGTGGAATATGTAATACAGCCTTGTTTACCACAGATCCTGGTGAGGCTCATGGTACTGTTATTGCTCATGCTGATCTAGGTCAGATCTGTCATAGAGCCTTCTCTTTTACAGATCTCAGTGACCTCTACTGCAACTCCCATGATCTGCCCAATTCCTTGATTCCTGTGCTCCCTTTATATGACTTGACAGGTCTTCCTGCTTCCTGCGCATCCAGGCCCATGACACCCATATGGAGACACTATGTGCTCAGATAGCCCATACCCTAGGTCAGCCCAAATCCATTCTCCCTTGGCAAGATAATGGTGAGGATTTTTGAAGATGTCAGACTTGGCAAAAGTGCTGCTGTCATGAGTAGATCCAGGGCAGCCAACAACATACTCAATGATCTTGAGGTTGTGTGGCAAAACAACTAGTTGAACATTCAAGCTGTAGTTCTTCTTCCAATCAAAGTGCCCCTCCATGCCTGGTGTGAACTGTAGTGGTACCAGCATTCTGTGCACCATTGCAAAGCCATGTTGCCATTCAGGAATTCCAGTTTTGGTGAGTACCCAGTGTCACAGGATCAGCAGATCAGCATATGAAGTGTGCGCCAAATTGATCTGCAGCAATCATTGGGAATCAACAATCTAATCAGGTTGGTAGCACATATGACTTGTGAGATGGTGAAGAGAGAAGGAGCTGTGTCAAGAAGACCAGGGATTGTCTATGAGGAGGAGGAGCTGTGTTGCAGGGGTTGTCACACATCACCAGGCAAGGAAGAGCATAAAGGCAAAGGGGCAGTATCACACAAACCAATACACTGTGCAAGCAGTAGAAGCACAGCATCAAAGGGATTGGCACCAGCAGGAGGGAGAGTGTCAAGAGGAGGCAAAGGCCTCTCAGGAGGAGCAGGAGAGGTGTTGCAGGTGACACCAAGTGAATGCATAAATACTCTCATTCTACCATAGCATACAAGTGGATCATCATCCACTCTACTCTATACTTTACATACTCTTTACTTGACTCTTAGTTACATATCATTGCAATAGCAGAGCTTTGCAACAACACCTCAAATGTGTGTGTTGTATCACTGTTAGGTGTCAACTGTAGGTGGTGTTCCTCAACACCTGCAGTCCAGTCTCTTACTGTAGGCAGTGTTTGCTCAACATCTGCAGTCCAGTCAGTTATTGTAGGTGGTGTCCAACACCTGCAGTCCAGTAACTACCATTATCTGTAGGCAATAAGCATATTGTGGTCCAGATGACATTAGAGAGCATTATCAACAGTACTACAAACACTCATACTGTAAAGGAGAGTGTATTACTCTCCCTCCAAAGAATAATGGACATGCCACACAACCTCTGAATGGAGTGTTCAAGGTGGTCAGCTGAGACCTACCAGTATGAAGCCATCTGGTTACATTTAAGTCGAAACATACTGAGTATATCTTACTCACCAATACCAATTGGAAACACCCAATCTGGTTTCTGGCACGCGACCGCTTACACCCAGTCCTTGGACTTGATCTTCTTGTTTTCAGTTGCCCAAGTTAAGCTCTGGCTGTGTGCATCAAAGAGAGCAGCTGTCACATTGTTGCTATAGTTGACAACTGAACCCATGCTCAAGCCAAGTATATGAGCAACATCTTGGATGCTGGCACCATTTCCTTATCATCCCATTCTGTAGAGGAAGACAGCAAGCTGGAAATTTAGGCTTCTGGAGTTGCCTTTGGAGACCTTGTGATTGCTGATCTGCTTAAGGATGCAATCAAATGCTTCTGGCCACATTCTGACCATCCTGTAGAAGGCTTGTCTATCATTCTGATGGGAACTTGTCAAACAAGGAAAGAATGTTGTCTGAGGCCCTGTCTTTCTGCTGTGTGCTTTGGTCTGCAAGATACTGTGCACTGCATAGCTAAGCTGCAATGTGTCTGATGGTTGCAACAGTTGAAATCAAGTTGGTTTGCTGTGCAGCAGAGCAGGCAGATGGAATGGCAGGTGAGCTGGAAAGAAGGAGACTTGTCACTGTTGCAAGGGCTGACTGCTGACCACTGACTGAGAGTGGTCTGACTGTATCATGGCATGGTTATGGTTTGCAGTGTGAGGAATGACAAAGATACTGCTTCTGAAGAAATAGTAGTGTAAAGTTCCTCTCAGAGTAGCTTTACAGGATTGATGCAACTCTCTGCCAGATTTGCTCTTTGGTACTGCACACTTTATGGTAAAGCTACAAAAGCACACGCGTTAAACGGCCCTGCTACCGCCGTCAAAAGAATGGTCGAGATACCTGCTAGACAAGGAATGCGACATACTACCGCCCGTCTGATTGGATGAGCTTCCGCTAGCGAGGGCAGCTCGCAAGGAAGCAGCAGGATGTGCCGCTTTCTCTAGGATGGAGAGCAGAGAAGGCCTTCTCTTGGTTTCGCGTGCGCTACCGGTGGCTGATGCACTTGCAGTGTTGCCAGGAACGGCTGCCGAAACGGAAGTGAATCTTGCCTGCGCAGAGGCTGTTGATGTTGCAGCATAGTCCGAAGAGTCGTAGGATGGTCCCTCGGAAGGGAATGCGCCGAGACCGGGAGAGATGGCTGTAGGATATGCTGACGATGATGACATGGATTGAGAAGACGTGAGTGATGCTGGCGAGGCGACAGGCAAGGGAGGAGTGGCAAACGAAGCTGCATTGTTGCCAAGATTCGGGTTGCAGCTCGTCTTGAAGATAGATCCACCCTTTGATGTTGGCCCGGAGCGTGAGCCGGCTACTTTGGAAGCGTTGCTGGCTAAAAGCGTTTCGGATGAAGACTTGTTGTTAAGTGCTGATGAAGGAGTCGCTAGGTGAGAGCTCGAGACGTTGTTGCTGCCGCTGCTGCTGCAGCTAGACTGCTTGTTTCTGGATGCTGTGATGGGCGAAAGGGGAGCGGCGCTTCTACCTGAAGCGGCGTAACGGATGTAGGCAGCTGGGCCCAAGGTGACGTCTCCGCTGACCGTGTCTCGCGATTCGACCATACCAGCGAGGCCGTTGGAGCCGTATGCGGAGATCCAGGAGCGGATAAGATTGGCGCATTCGGTATGACCGTTGCCAAGAGCGAGAGCCTCAGGGAGGAGAGCCTCTTTGTCTGCTGCAGCCGGTCGCGCTCCTGCTTCGAGCAAAATGCGAACAATGTCGAGATGACCGTTGGCAGCGGCAAAAGTGGAGTGGTGTTGAGCCTTCCGCACCTGGACCACCGCTAGATCCTTTGGCCTTGAGACGGGGCGTGTTGACGTCGGTGCCGTGGAAGATGAGCATACGAACGCTTTGCTCGCTGCCACCAGAGCAGGCGGCATGCAAGGGCAAAATACCGTTGAGATTGCTGTTGGCGGGCTGACCATTCTCAAGGGCGAACTTGACTAGACCGATGTTGCCGCTAGCTGCGGCGTTGTGAAGTCCGAGATTGGGATGCATGCCTTCGGCATGGCTAGAGGAGCCACCAAGGCCACTCTGGCCGGTCGCCTTGAGGGCAGTGCGGGTGACAGCGCTACGTAGCATGTCGACGACGACAAGGGCAAGACAAACGGTAAGCTTTGTTTAGAGGAAATCAGATCTGGGCGACCTGAGTCGCAGTTGTGGCGTTGCCGGATATGGCTAGGAAGCGATCAGCTTTCACGATTGCAGGTCGAACATGCTTCAGGCGGGCAAAGGCGGAGTGGATGATGCGCAATATATTCGAGATGCAGATGCTGAGGTAGATCGATTGGCTGAGGGTCCCGACACTATCAGTGTCGATGATACCGGATGGGTGTGGAACGCGTCGAGTCACTTATTGTGTGATGATAGCAGTGAGCTTCGTAGAGGCAGAGAGGGTATCGGAGGTATCGTCGCTATTCAAGGCCAGTTCATTTGTAAGGTACACAAGCATGCGGACGATATGTTACGAGTTCTGCATCTATATAATTACTTGCGTACCCAGTCGGCTCATTCTGATTGCAATCCTGTGAAGCGTACAATGGTGTGCTATGCGTCATCCGAGTCTTGGTCGTTTGAGCAACGCATTTGGATCGATTGTCAGATTTATGACCGGTGCAGTTCAAGGTGAATACTCTTGCTGAAGTGGCGGTGGCGGTTGCTGCTGTTACTTCGACGGCGGTATTGGTAGCAGCTTGAATTCAAAGGTGACAAGATCTCTCCAATCGCCTTTCCTAGGGCCGTCGATCATCTTGACCACTTTACTCCTCGTCGAGACGCTCTGAAATTCGCACCGCTCCAACAGTTTCCAACAAGCCTCGTTCTCGGGCAAGCAGCTTGCCTGCACCGTCGAGTATCGCCAGTCTGTCTCGAGTGAAGCCAGCACTTGACAAAAGAATAAAGGAGGACGGATGTCGATGCTCAGCAATCGACGTCAATCCGAGCACATTACTGCTGCTATTAGGGCAGAAACACTATACTCAATTGACTAAAGGAAAGTGGTGAGAGCCTAGAGCTCTCAGCTTGATATATATACATCTTCGTGGCACATGCCGAATGTGGGAGTATCCTACTCAATGACGAAGCGTGACAACTAGCGGGACTAAGTTGTACTTGATCTCTGATCAGATTGGCTTTGCCCGATCTCTTCGGTATCAGCTTACGTCAACTTGCATCATCATATTGGATCGTTACCTTTGGCAGCACTGTCTTGACCAGGAATGTACCTACGCCTCTGCCCCTTTGCGTCTCCGCTACGATGACTTGCAGCTCTGCCATCCGTCCTTGCCTGACATCTTCTTCCTCCGCCAGTCCCACATCAGAGACAGCCTCATCTTCACTGTAGAATGGCTCCAGCTGCGGATTGCTGAAGATGAGGATCCAGCACGACTCCAAGAGATCGGGAGGAACGGTGCAGGTAACCCAATCGGGAATCGGGCAGGTACGATCTGAGAGAGAGATCAGATGCTATTGGGTCCCGCTCGTTGTCATACCCTGTTATTGAGGATGATACTCCCACATATGGGATGTGCCAGCATTTTGTATATATGTCAGGCAGAGAGCTCGAGGCTCTCGCCATGTTCTCTTTATCATGTCAATATAGTATAGTGTTTTGCTCTTTAGCTTGAACACCGTACTCAGACTGATATCTCCCGGTCTTCGTCATCGCTAAGTGTCACTCTCTCTTTATCATGGATAGGGATATGGTGCAGGTGCGAACTTGAGTTGGTGCATTTAGACACCAAGACATGAAGGTACGGAAGTGCTGTGGTGCAATGAGCTTTGGTGGATTTGAATGTGGGCCGGTGGGGTTGAATGTGAGCAGATGGCGAACCTCATCGTGGCACTCGAGGAAGTCGCACCTCGGTGTCACCGACCACGACGCAATGTTGCTGAAGTTCGATTTCAGACAAAGTGGGAAAATGAAGGCTCCGAGGAAGTGGCTGACCGAGATGCGCAACACACGCAAAGCTATCGCCACGCGTGGCCATGTAGAAGCAAAATTTTGTCCTTCTGGAAGGAGGGCTCAGAAGGTATAAGAAGACCCGCGTATCCCTGTCTCATTCGGGTCTCTCCCTCATCGACCTCTCCTTGCCACTTCGACCTCTCCTTGCCACTTCGACCTCTCCTTGCCACTTCGACCTCTCCTTGCCACTTCGACCTCTCGAGTAATGCTGGCAATGCGTCAAACCTTTCAGCAATGGATGGTGCTGCTATCAGCACTCGTCCTATTGCTTCTCCCAGCCCTACTTTGCCATGCAAGGCCGATGGACAGTGCTTCTTCTAGCTCTGGACCTCGAGCTGGAAGGGATTCTAAAATCAGGGAATATATGTATTACATTGGTCCCTATTTCGAGCTCGAAAAAGAAAGGCAACCCCTGACAAGGGATGCTTTGGATGAGCATTTCGGCACTCATACTCATTATCAGGGCGTGCCGGTGCTTGATGTAAGTAAAGTTCCTGCAGGCACAGTGAAGAACGCTCTGGTAAGCTACAAAAAGGTCTGGCTTTTTGGTACAACTCAAGGTCGAACAGATAACTCGTACGGACGGCTGTCTATAGACGAAGATGGAAGGTTGCAAAAAAGTAGGGACACTCATGAAAATGTTGGTCGGCATTTTGATCACGCGAAAAGAATCGGATTAATTTATGGTGAGAAAGCTCGGCACCTTATGCACGGGCGTCCGTTCGACAAACGAACAGTGAAAAGATGGTCATCTTATAGCGAGCCTTCATGGAGAAAGGTACAAAGGAGCGACAGGATTTTCGATCTGGAAAACTCAGAGCTCGCCGTACTGCGCAATCATCTCAACAATAACAACTACCTCAAAGCTTCTGGGCCACCTGAAAAAGGGCTTCTCGGCTTCAGGTTAAATCGAGAGGGCGAGGTGTCTATGGAAGAATTGGCTCGAATCCGTGTCTGAGCGTAGGCTCCTTGCGTCGGCTACTTGTGCTTCGAATATTCTCCACCCCCATTTGATATCTTTTGATTCGAATTTCATTCGTTTGCAGTGCGTCTCAACAGCTAATGAGAACTACCAGCCATCCCCATTCACCGCTGTCTGTCGTCGACTGTCTTGAATGCAATGCATCACATTCCTCATTCCTCATCCTTGCGATTTCAACTAGCCAGTCTCGTGTGAATATTGCATAGAGCACTTACTAACCTCGCCTTCTCGTACGAGATTCAAACTCGATCAGCTTCCTCACTGCAGCACGCATCGTCTTCGGCTTTGCGTAGTGCAGCAAAGCATGACATTGAGATTGCAAACAAGACAAGGTAAAATAAATGTAAAAGGCGATGCTGCTAGCACGACTCTACAGTAATCTAGCAAAAACCAAAAAAAAAAAAAAAAAAAAAAAAAAAAGACCAAAAACCAAAAAAAAGGTATCTTGAGTAACGCGTCCTCGTCGCCATTCACAGTGCAACCGGCACGAGCGCTATAGACAGAATAGACGATTGACAGTAAGACAAAAGCAGAGTTGAAGCTGGCATCTACTCTGTCCACTCATCCTCCTTGACCGTCGTTGTTGGTGCAGCAGCTGAGCTTGTGTCGCCTGGGAGGCAAGCAAGATCCTGAACTGACTCGCTCGCCGTCACCATTGTCTCGTCCCCCTGGCCTTGCAAGATGGATGGGTTCGGCGAGATGGATCCGCTCGCTTTCCTTCCACCTTCGCCCTGGTTATTAGCATTCTGGTTGCTGTTCAAGCTGCGTGGTGGGTTACCGCATCGATCCTTGCCGTACGAGACCTTGACATTCTGATAGTCAGGATGGCTCTTGATCCCTTCGATGCACTTGATCGCCGACTGAATGTTGGTAAAGTTGGCAAATGCACAGTTCTTCTCCCTCAAGCTGTTGACTGTTTCGATCTCGCCATATTGCGAAAAGTCATTGCGGATCTTGTCCTCGGTCAACAAGTCGGGATGGTCAATGTTGCCAATGTAGACATTACGCGATCCACCGGCATGCACTGCAAACTGGATCGCCGGACTGAGAGGACCAGAGTGTTTTCCCCATCCGATCTTGAGTCGACGGTTGTGAATCATGATGCCCGAGTAGGATGCCAGGTGGAAGAAGGCCAGTGCTGCATTAGGATCGACGAATGTGACAAAAGCAATGTGCTTTTCAGGGATGAAGCGAATGTTTTGCAAGATACCGCCGCGAATGTGGTTGCAGATCTCGGCTGTGGTAGTGTCGGGGTGGATGTTGCCAAGGTAGATGGTGCGATTGCCGAGCTGCTCCAATGCGGTGGCGTTGGCACCCATCATAGCAGCAGCGGGGCCAAAGACAGAACTGGCAGGAGACCGGCCATTGTCAGGCGCAGCGTTGGCACCAGCAAAGGCAGCAGTTGGGTATCCAAGAGAGGCTGCTGCCGCCAGACCCATAGCAGCGGCCTGGTTATTGTGTGCCTGGTTCTGCTGTTGGCTTTTGGGCACATATGCACATCGATCCTTACCGTAGCTGACACGCTTATTGGACCACGCTGGTTCGGTCGGCAGAGTAGCAACGACCTTCATGGCGGTCTGGATCGAGAGCAAGTGGATGAAGCCAATGTTCTTGTCGCGAACAATCTTGACCTGGTCAATGGGACCGAAGCGTGAGAGATCGTCTCGAAGCGATTGCTCGGAAGCAGACTCGTCGAGCTGACCGACGTAGACGTTGCGAGAAGCCTGGTTCTGCTGGACTGCCATCAAGACAGCAGGGTGGCATTGTGACGGCTTGCCCCAACCGATCTTGAGTTCCTGATTGTGTAGCGAAACCTTCTTGACACAGGCATCGGCGTGGAAGGCAGTGGCTGTGGCGCCATCGAGGAAGGAGATGAAGGCGCAGTTCTTTTCGGGCAAGATGCGCACGTTCTCGATCGGACCGAACTTGACAAGATTGAGCAATTCGTCGACGGAAGCGTCTGCAGGGAGATTGCCGACGTAGACGGTGCGGTTGAGAGGGTTGACCTGACGATGCATGGCGTTCAGCACACCGAGGTTAGGTAGAAAGCCAGATATATTGGCGAAGTTGGGGAACATGGCGGTGGCAGGGTTCAGGCCGGCACCGTTGGTGATGAGGAAGGGCGCTGAGCCAGCAGCGTCAAAGTTGAGGCCGTTTTGACCAAGCAAACCGGCATGGCCAAGGTTGCCAGAGAAGGAGCGGGTGCCGTCAGTGCCGTTGCCTGGCGGTTCGAGTCCACTGAGGCCTGCAAATGGCTGACCTTGAACTTGTGGTGAGGCAGCGTTGCCAAGAAAGGCGCCGTGAGCATGATGTGAGGCAGCTGGGAAGCCACCAAGAGACGGGTTGGCAAAGTTCTGCTGAGCGAGGCTGGGAATGTTGCCTTCGGAGACAAAGCGGGCCTTTTTAGCGCCGGCTTCGGGCATCTGCTGAGGGTTGGGGAGGGAGGAAAGGTGGCCGAGGCTGGCGTGTGCGACGAAGGACCGGGAGGGAGCGCGCTTCATCACTTCGAGCGGATCAAGTGGGAATGCCTGTTGGTGAGCGGGGTTGGATGCGGTGGGTGCTGCAAAACCATTCGAGGCAAACGAGTTGGGTGTCGGCAGTGCGTTCTCTTGGTTCATGGCCGTGGAGTGAATGAAAGAAGCTGAAAAAGCTCAATCGAGGCGGCAAGATGAGACCGCTGTCACTGGGACACCTGAAAATGCGGGGGGCGGGTCTAAGTATCGAGCTGCTAACCGGGAAGCGAGAGGTTGGACGTTCGATCCTAGCCTGTCGAAGATAGTTCGGACGCTGTAGAGGGCCTCTGCTGGGCTTGTGGAGGAGCTCAAAGTATGGACGAAGCAGGGTACTCGGTGAATGAGGGATTCGCAAGAGGGATTTGCAAGACGGCAAGGGTAATGGAGCAAAGACAGAATGAACTCGCCAAAGGTAGCCCTGAATCAACGGAGGCTCGCAACCAAGAGGAATTGCTGCGCGGAACGAAGAGGAAGGAGGAGTAAAGTCGAGCGGGCGAGATGTACACCGGCAGCAACGTTGCTAAACAGCAAAAGAAGTAAAAAGGCGGAGAAGGTCGGGCGAAGGGTGAAAGGTGAAAGGTGAAAGGTGAAGGGAGAAGGGAGAAGGGTGAAGGGTGAAAGGTGAAAGGTGAAGAACAAGAAGGTGGAAGTAAGAGATGGAGTAACTGAAGCCGAGTCGATGAGGACGAGTTGCGAGTTGAGCAGTGCGCAACTGAGCCGAGAGCGGAGAGAGGAAAGAGAGAGAGAAAGAGCCGCGCACACCAGTCCAGCAACACGAAAACCGATGACACTCTCACGCCTCTCTCTCGTGCGAATACTAGCCGCACGAGAATGCTCGATCGATATCTTCTCGCGCGAATACTCGTCGCGCAGGAAAGTTCGATAGCAATGTGCAAATCTTTGCTTGTACAGAAGCTACTCAAACTAGCTTCCCTTAGATGTCATCCTTCCTTCCTAAAATACATCTAGTTACAGTAAAAACGCATGACTGCTTAGTCATATTCTGACATTTCTGCAAACCTTGCTCAGCATCACTGTCATGGGCCTGGATGCTCAAGAAGCAGGAGGGTCACTGGTTCATATGGAAGGAGCACAGGTATCGAAGACCTAGTCGACACCAGTAGAGAGCATGGTCGTAGTGCAGTCTCCATGGAGACCATGGACTCCTATGGACTCACATGCAAAGGAGGGCCAAGCACAGCCACGAGGAGGACCAAGCTCAAGGAGCAGGCACAGCCACGAGGAGGACCAAGCTCAAGGAGCAGGCACAGCCACGAAGAGGACCAAGCTCAAGGAGCATGCAGATGGTTACCACTCAGGGGCTCGAGAGACAAGAGCCAAAGGAACTGTCACTGATCAAAGGAGGAGGAGCAGTGTCGAAGGAGTCGACACCAGGCCATGAGGAGGAGGAGCAGTGTCGAAGGAGTCGACATCAGGTCATGAGGAGGAGGAGCAGTGTCGAAGGAGTCGACACCAGGTCATGAGGAGGAGGAGCTGTGTCGACCAAGAGGCACAGGGGTGCCAAGCAGGAGAGGCCCCTGAGCAGTACTCGATGAAGAAGGTACTCTATGGAGAGAGAGCAGGAGCAGCATCGCTGGCGATGCTGAGAAGAGGTATATAACCATGCTTTCTCATCATCATAGGTCGAGTGGATCCTCATCCACTCTACTCACCATACAACTAGTCAATACTTTAGAAACACAAGTACTCATTAGTTACAGTCAGCATAGCAGCAATCTATCAAGGTTGCTCCTCATCGTAGTGTGTGTGTTGTATCACCACTACCTGACATCCGAAGGCGCCCATAGCAGGTTAGCAGTCCGGATATAGATAGAACCGAAGGCAGTAGTCCACTGCGGTCCGGGGATCACTTCAAAGCATCAAGTCAACACACTGGACACTCGTGTTGACGCCACCAACCTTATCACCAACACCATCAACCTCATTATCATTGACATCACCAATCTTATCATCAACACCATCAACCTCATTATCATTGACATCACCAATCTCATCACCAACACCATCAACCTCATCATCATCAACACCCACACCAGACCTTGGTGTCATCATAACATTGATATTGATCGTGCCGAGCTACCCCTGAACGGAGTGTCCACAGAGGTCAGCCGAAACCTATGATAGTATATACAACGAACGCCACCTGCTGTCACTGCACAACTTGATAGTCACCGATACCGAGACAATAGCTGTCACACAGTTTAATAGTCACCGAGTATCTCGACAGACCGACCTGGGTTTCAGGCGCGAGACCCCTGACATTAGAGTGGATCGTTCAAGCAGCTCCTCACGATCACCATGACGGACCCAGACCTCAACAATAAGCTCGATAGACTACTCACTCTATTGGAAGCTCAGCTAGAGCTTACTAGGCAGGGTCATCGAGAGGAACGACTACAACGAGCTCAGCTGGGTAGGGAGGATACGATGGACCTCTCTCACTCAGAAGACCAAGCAGGAGGAGGAGATGAGTCTATGATAGGAGACCCACATACTCCTACTCCAGCTCCACGACCAAGACGATCAGTCTCATTCAACCTGGATGAGCAGGAGGACATCAACTACGAGAAGTATGCTTCACCTACTGGGCCAAGATATGTCAAGACTAAGCTGGACCCCTACAGCAGGACTAGGACGGACCCTTACCCCCTGGACCACGAGGAGGATACCAGCATCATGGCAGAGCTTAACCGGTCAAAGCCCATCACCACCCCCTTTCCAAAGTTCAATCCCCGGGACATGGAGATCTTCATTCTAGAAGCCGAAGCATGGTTTAAGTTCAACCAGGTGTATGAGCAGTCTAGGATGATCAATCACATGGGTGCTCAACTGGAAGGGACAGCAAGAGAGTGGTGGACCTCCAAGCTCCGTATTGATAGAGCTAGAGAAGGAAGGTTGTTCAATGATTGGCACTACTTCACAGAGCGACTGTCAGAGCAGTTCAACCCACGCAATGCTAGGATGGAGGCATACAACAAGCTGTTGGCTCTCAGACTCACAAGTGATGCTCCTGGTGCTGCCACACGTCATGTAGAGCGGTTCAGAGACTTGGAAGGACAGGTCAACCTAGATGACAATGAGCTAGTGATTGATCTCTTCAGAGGTAGTCTCACTCGTAGCATACAGGAGAAGTTTGAGAGGAATCCACCTGGGAAGAGATGGGAGTGGTATCGAGAGGTCAAGGAGATCGATCGACAGAGGATGCTACTACAGCAGTCCTCGGCTAGACACTCACTTCCAAATGCCACGTCACCTCCACTAAGAACTGGGTCTCGGCCAAATCAAAGTTCAATCCCCACCCGACAACCCACTCAACCCTATCCAGCTCGATCACCATCACAAGCAACTACACAAGCAACTATACAAAACCTAAACCGACCCCTTCCTCATCATCCCACCCAACCCTCGAAGCAAGGAAGCCCTGCTCCATCAGGTATCAACACCTGTCATGTATGCAAGGGTATCGGCCATTGGGCCAGAGACTGCCCCAGCAGGAGGGTAAACCCTCTTAGCTCTCGACCCATGGGACCAAAGGTTATGGTCACCACAGCAGACCCCTTCGAGGAGGCCACCGACTCAGGAGATGGCCACACAGGCAGCACTGAGACGGGTGACCCCGAGGCCATGGACCTCAGCTCATACCAGCAACCCATGGACCCCGATCACGAGGAGGAGCACGATGATGATGACAACGAGGGAAACGTCAGTGGGGTGATGCACTGATGGCATGCATTGCTCTACAAACCTCCTCGCCATCACTCTGTATATATCAAGATTGTCAAGTATGTTTCTCTACCAGTGGAGGCAAAGCAGTACTGGAGCTCTCTGGAATGGTTCAAGACCATCCTGCTCGGATACTAGCTGATACCGGTGCTGGTTTGTCCATAGTCTCAGATTCTTTCATTAGTAAGTACCAAATACCCACAAAACCCATAAAAACAAGATCGATCCATGGTGTCACCGGGCACCAACTCTCCATCAATAGTTCTGCGAGCATGCAGGTATCTATTGGTACACACAATCTGGGTGTGGTCGAAGCTTCAGTGGCCGACACTGCGGACTATGACCTCATCCTGGGGTTCACTGAGCTACGGAGGCTCAAACCCACCATACAATGGGATACGGGCCAGCTGGAGTTCAAGACTCAGGAGCAGGACCGACCCCCTAGGAGACCCCCTGAAGCAGCAAGAGCAGGGGACCTAACCATGAGGAGACCAACCCTTCATGGTAACGAGTTTGTCTCAGCAGAGCGCATACTACGAGCAGCTCTGGAAGATGGACCCATAGGGTTCATGCTGTTAGAGGAGCCACCATCATCACTCCCGGCCTTTGGTTTTGTACCTACAGGCGCAGATAAAGGAGTCGAGATGGAGGTGGAGGTAGATAAGGTGGTGACGGCTGCAGACATACCAAAGCCATACCAACACCTGTGAGATGTGTTTGATGAGGTGGAAGCAGACAAGCTGCCCCATCATACCGAGCATGATCTCCACCTCGAGTTGATAGAAGGAGGGAAGCCACCTCAAGGGCCCCTATACCTTAAGGGACCCAAGGAGATGTCCGAGTTGAGGAGGTACTTGGATGAGAACCTCGAGAAGGGGTTCATAAGACCATCGAAGAGCCCGGCACGATCACCGGTGCTCTTCGTACCAAAGAAGGATGGAGGTCTCAGACTCTGTGTGGACTACAGAGGTCTCAACGAGATCACTGTCAAGAACAGGGCACCATTGCCCCTCATCGAGGAGCAGCTGTTCTTACTCAGGAAGGCAAGGATCTATACCAAGCTAGACCTTAGAGCAGCATACAACCTCATCCGGATTGCTAAAGGAGATGAATGGAAGACAGCTTTTGGCACTCAGTTGGGACTCTATGAGTACCTAGTGATGCCCTTTGGCCTAGCCAATGCTCCAGCTCACTTCCAGTCATTCATCAATGACATCTTCCGAGACATCATTGGGATATATGTGGTAGTATACCTAGATGACTTCCTGATCTTCAGTGACACTGAAGAGGTACATGTGAAGCATGTCACCGAGGTCCTCACTCACTTAAGGAACAACAGGCTCTTTGCTAAGCTGTCGAAG